TTAACCATGCTCATCTCAGAATCCTTTCAAATAGTACTTCATTACCCTACTTTCTCATCTCTATAACCCAAGAGAGTGAGGAGCCACTTCAAATAATACCCTTAAAGTCTCCCTCTAACTAGTTCTATTCATTTTAGCCTACTAAAAGTCAACGACTGTCACTTCCCTCAGAGATTGTATCTATCTGTTCAGTACACACCTGTTGTATGTCTACTGAATTGCGGGCCCATGTTAACTACATAGAAGCATATACCACAATCCCTTAATCAAAGGATTTGGTCTTGGTAGTGAAGGATTAAAAAAAATGTCCATAGTTTGTATCTGAAGAGTTCCTCCTGAACCCCATGTGTTAAAGTCTTGATTACTGCCTGTGGCACTTTGGGGAGATAGAGAACCACAAAGAGGTAAGGCCAAGTGGAAAGAAGTTGGATGAGAAGGATATACTGAGGAAGATCATATTGGTATTCCAAGCTTCTATGTCTGCTTACCATGAGGTAAATAGGATTTACCACCACATGCTCCTGTCAGCTCATACCATCCCACCACAGGCTCAAAGTAATGGAACCAAGTGAATATACACTAAAACTTCTCAAACCATTCACGGCATCAAAGGGAATGAAGACTGGGTCAGACACACAAGCAGGTGCCAAGTGAGAAGTGCATTAGGAAAGACCATAAAGTTACAGAGAGGTGATGCCTTGTGTAGATGTGTCCTGAAAGTTCTGAAAAAGCTAACCCTGAGCCTGGTCTGAATAATAACCAAAGCCATGAAATGGCATTCCAGGCAAGAGAAATGGCTGATAAGAAAATATCCAGAAGGTTGCAACAGTGACACCATCTCAGGAGTCAGGCACACATGCCCAACCTTTTGACATTGCAGGACAATGTTGTAATCTGCAGTGTTCATGGTCAAGAACCTCACAAAAGGAGTCCCATAATTTTCAGCTGGCTTCCATTCAAGGCTATGCCAGAGGCCATGAATTGGATATGGCTAGTAGGGGTTCATTTCTAACTATGTTGTTTTCCATTCAGTGACCTTGGGAGAGTCAATCTCTGAACTTTTTATTCAAGTTGAGCAAGGGATGATAACACCTCCCTGCTACCTTAATGTGTAGGCTAGACCAAGTACCAAGTGCATGCAGGAATGCCTACTGTGGTAAACAGTAATTGCTCAGAAATGAAGAAATGATTAATGATTATTAGCTGAGACAAAGACGCATCTCCTAATTTCCTGAGTTAGTGATCTTTTCATAACACTGCAGTACTGATTTTTGTAATTAACATTATACTAATTTCATAAGGCCCAAAATTTTACAGTAATAAAATAAGATGCCTCACTGAGTCCTAGGCAATTTACTAGGTCTGAATTTTTTAAATATGTTCCTCGATTATAGGGCCACTCATGCCAGCCCCCTTCACTCCATGCTTCCAGTTACTCTCCATGCCTGGCATGTCTGACTATGCTAAGATTTTTATATGACCTTGAAGCTAACAAAGCTGGAATTTTGAATAAACTAGGTTCTTAGTTATGGACTCAGCAGCAACTGGGAACACCAAATTTATATCATCCAGGAAGGTAAAATAGGAACAACACTTACTTAATGCCTTGAAATACCTGGACTTCATTAGGTTTCAGAAACTCTGAGTGTGCATGTCTTTATCCATATAGCTATTATTGATAAAGCATTTACATATTTAATAGACTAGCATAGTTCTTATTATTTGGGTTGTTTGGAAAATAAGTTTAAATAGGTTTAAAAGAAAAACCAACTCCTGGAACTCACATGTTGTGAGTGATCTATATTAACAAACTCTTATCATATCCAAGAATCAGTAAAGGAAGGTTAAATCCACATCATTGCCTTCCTGGACAGCTCTCTCCAAAGTAAATGCTTGCTTCCTTGCCACAATACTGAGCCAGGTACAGCATGATCTAAGCCCAAAATTGAGCAACTAAATTATTTTTCTCAATCAGGTTTTGGTAACCATTATTGCTATCCCAAGAAGTTGTCTGTTCCTGGAGACAAACGGTCATGGAAAACTGTACTCTTCCTTTTTTTTTTTTTTTGTTTTTGTTTTTTTACGAGACAGGGTTTCTCTGTATTGTTTTGGAGGCTGTCGATCCAGCCTGGCCTCAAACTCACAGAGATCCGCCTGCCTCTGCCTCCCGAGTGCTGGGATTAAAGGCGTGCGCCACCACCACCCGGCTTTGTACTCTTCCTTTAATGTGCATTTCCAAACTCTACTGCCCTGCACGGAGGGGAAAAGGCATGACGTCTGTCCGCACAGCTCACCCACTTTAAACAGCTGAGAAGCATGGGGTCATTTATGCTGCAAGAGCAATCAACATGTATTATCCAGAAAGCTCCTCTTGTCTGACAGGGACAGCTACAAATGCTACAGACTTGTGCAGATAACACACTGCAGCCAAGCTCTAACAGCCTGCCACCATGGCCATCAACATTACAGTAAGGCCTCCCGTTCCTGACCCAACCTAAACTTTCTCTATCCTTTCCAAAAAGGGAAATAATATATAGGGGTCGGTTAATATGAAAGACACAAACTTTGTTGCATGATGTAGGGTTTGTACTGGTATCATCACAGGGGCTTTCTGATGTGAACTGAGGTAAAACTGAAGCCTTTTAGAAAGTGCACACACATCCACTGTGATAGATGGTTCTAGTACTTGATACTCAGCTCTCAGGCAAGGAGAGCTCCCCCTCCCTCCCCACTTCTCTCTCTCATGTTTGGGTATATGTGTGTATCATACATACGTAGTATACTGGAACCACTGTGTGGCCAAGGATACCTTGAAGTCCATGCTCTTCCTGCTTCTGCTTCCGAAATTCAGAAATTAGAGAAGATTGCACCATCTTAATATGATGTTCATCCAAAACAAGTGAGAGGACAAGGAGATGAGAAATTGCCTTTCTCTGTCTGCTGTAAAGAAAGATCTAGCCCACCCGAGAAAGGACCGACTTAATGTCTTCTGTGGTTTCAAAGCCCCCCAACAACCACAAGCAAAGGATACATGACGATAGATAGCATTTTCTTTTTGCTTCCTAAATTGAAGATTTCTAAAATTAAGGAAACCCTTTTTCCTTGCTGGCAGCAGAGAACAATCGGCACGCTGCTTTGAAGGTAACGTCTCACAGTCCATCCCCAAAGACAGACTAAAGAACAGCAGAAACACTTTTGTAGCCTCATTAGCCGTCACAGTTTTTCATCTTGTTTTTTGATTAACTTTTCCCATGCACAGCTAAAGCATGAGAAGCAGAATGAAAGGCAGGTGACTGTAATTACACTAGATTGCCCAAAGCAAGAGAGGAAAGGGAGGCGGATCCTGTAATTCAGCGCCTAAGTATGATCCCCACCTGATGGAGTTACACTGTGTGTATAAATCAGACTCTTAAAAGTTTTGAATGTATACGTTGAAATGAGTAATATTTCTGTTGGGAAAATACATTAGTTTGCATCAGGGTTTTCTGTTCCTCTTAAATACACCTTTTCCTCATGTTTTAGAACAGATACCGCATTGAGGCAGGAAGGGGAAAAATTACAGAGACAAGTGATAAAAGTTACAAATGTGGGTTCTGGAGAGATGGCTCAGTGGGTAAGAGCACTGGCTGCTCTTTCAGGACCTGGATTTAGTTCTCAGCACCCACATCATAGCTAGTAGCCGCCTATATCTCCCATTCCAGGGATCCAACACCTTCTTCTGACCTCTGATGGTACCATAGTATGTGTAGAGAGAACCAGGCAAACACCCAAACACATAAGTTAAAATAAATAAAAACTTTTACATTATAAATGCAAATATAACTTTTAAAATACTGCCTAAAATAGTGTGGATCAACCCACTTGGTTAACAAATGAAAGGAATCAATGTCTTACATGTTTATTATATGATATATAACACATGGGGAAATAACTAGTTTAAAGCAAAATATATCTTAATTTTACAGAACTTTCATGTTATCTGTACAGTCGAGACGTATATTAAAATGTGAGCTAAAAGTAGGAAACGTTGAGCAATTTTCCCAAAATAGCGTTGGTGAGGAGATAAACACCATCCCAGAGTAAGGCGTTCTGGGTATGGCACAGCACCTTGCCTTTAAACTACTAGTGTTCTTTAGCGATCTCTCTCTCTCTCTCTCTCTCTCTCTCTCTCTCTCTCACACACACACACACACACACACACACACACACACACACACACATGTATGCAAAATAAGCTTAGAATTCTGGAACAAGTGCACAAACAAAAAGGAACAGCCAGAGCTGGTAAAAAAATATCTATAGTAAGATTTCATATGGACTCAGAAACTAAAAGCATAGGACAACACTAACTAAGTATGATTTGGAACAAATAAAGATACTGGATTTCCAAACCCTGAGCACAAAATGAAAAATTAATGGCTTACTAGGAGCTGAAATTCATACTAGAAAAGGCCCCAAGTAGAAAACACTTGACTGGAATCTATGTATCTCCTCGTTGCCCACCATCATGTCACCTGAAACCTAAGTAAGGCAGTTGAGCAGTAAGTGGAGTGTCCTCAAAGAAAATTCCAGCAGCCCATGTGCACAGAGGCCTCGTTTCCCTATCCAGTGCCGGTGCTGGGTCAGGCACTGTGGTCCCAGAGTGCTCAGTACTAGCCTAAACAGTTCAATGATACTACGATTGGATACAGAGCTTTTCATTTTAGAGAAAGCCAAAGAGCTTTTTGTGAGATGTTCTTGTCTAATAGCAGGCTTGGGGATCTTTGGGTAAGCCATGGTCTCTGTCATCAAAGAATCTGATGGGATGTTCAATAAAGAAACAGCTGGTGGACCGCTTCATCAAGAGGAAGATGGCCAATAGTAACAGTGCAGCAGGCAAAATCAAGAAGAAATGGTTGTTTGGGTTTTCCTCATCACCACGGTACCTGCCCCAGCTTTTGTTTATTGCATCAACTCTGTAACATTCTTAGAATGAGTATTTGATATGCTTCACTTGTATTTGGAAGGGGAAAAACATTTTCAAATTCCAACTTACAGTGGACTTGATCTACAACTGAGGTTCTAGAAAGCAGGATTATGTAGAAAGTTGAGCGAGAGGAGTGTAGGTGTAAGTTTCCCCTAAGGAAAAACTAGAGCCCCTGGCTTAAGAACTGACAAATGCTGCCTTTTCTGTGAGCGGAGCATTCAACAGAGGCCAGGAAACCCAACATTGGGCTCATGGAAGCTAGAATGTATGAAAAATATACCTTCTACTTTCACAATGCCAAGTTCTGATATCCAGTGCCAGTATTAAAGTCTTCAACACTGGGAAATTAGACAGTAGCATTTAAACAGCCAAAAGACAAGAGGAAATACGCGTTAAGATCAGTCACCTCAGGTCACAATGAGAATCCCCAAAATGTCTACCTGGTACCGCCCGTGTAGAGTAGTAGAACTCCGTTCTCAAAAAGAGTCAAACTTGGGCTGGAGAGATGGCTCAGCCGTTAAAGGCTAGGCTCACAACCAAAAAAGAGTCAAACTTGTCCCTGGAATCCCTGGGTCCACCATAGTGACTATATGGAAACATCTTTGTCATAGTTGATACAACTGTCACCCAGTGTGCTTGTAATAGAATGTCGTTACTCAGAAGCAAAACCCCAATAACTCCTAGATTTGATACCAGTTTCCAAGTTAGACACTCCTCTTTGTTGACTTAGAGTGAAATGAAGCAGGCAAAGATAGGTCCATGTCTCCATGTCTCCATTATAGGCTTTTCTCTCCCCAGTGCCTAAAGACTTCATGCTGAAATGAATCCAAAGGAACGCCCTGTCATAGCAACATCATGAAGACAGTCCATGAATGACAGCATTTGGTGAGCAATCTTCCAAAGATGAATGGTTATCCCTGTGCAATAGACTATGGTCATTATATTTTATCTGGGCACAGGAATCCTGAAACTCAGCCTTCTTGTGAACATCCATAGACGTTCAAAGACCACAAGTCGTGGTGCACTTTTTGTGAGACATTTGTCTTTATAGCTAGGAGAAACTTGCTGAGGCCTTAAGAAAAGATGTGGATAATAAATCCAAACTGTGTCCCCATGGAATCCATGTGTTCGTTTTCCTCTATAAGTTATATATTTCTTTCCTTTCAAAGAAAAAAATCCACTTAGGAGGTTATATATATATATATATATATATATATATAGAGAGAGAGAGAGAGAGAGAGAGAGAGAGAGAGAATTTGTTTCGCTTTCACTCTTCATGTCTTCGTTGAGACATTAAAAGTGTTTGACAATCTTCAGCACCCTTTCTGGTACCTTGCTTAATTAGGCAAGGGACACTGATTATACTATATAAGTAACATGCATGTTTCTTGCTCATAATGACTGTATCTACTGGCATTTAACCTCCAGGCCTTTTGAACAGAATCTAAAGTAACACACACACACACACACAATCCTGAGTTTTCTATCCAGTGTTACGTGTAAAAGTAAAATCCAAAGATACAACATCAAAGGGAAAGAAAGCTGTGCAAAGTCTGTTTCCAAAATTAACAAATGGAGAAAACCTAAAAGCTGAATGCCCCAGGGCTCCATTATGTCTTCAAGGAAAACCAGGATCTAGCATTTCACCCCAATGTTTCATTCCAGACTACTTCTGCAACACAGACTTTCAATTCTATTATTTAAGGAGCTATTTGAAATAGCTTGGTAACTCCCAGAGCACAGCTGCACAGCATGTAAAGTACACAGTGAAATAGCCGGCGTACCTGAACAGGTAGAAGCAGCAGAGCCAACACAAGAGGTTGCTTTGTTTGTTTGGCAACTTCCTTCAGGCTATTTGAGTTGAGACTTTAAGATGCTAAAAGAAGTTCTACTTCTCAAGGTTAGCAGTAAAAGAAGACCAAAAAAAGGGCAAAGGGAACAGTCCAGATGACAGTACAAAAGACAAAACACAACCAGAACTGTACTCCCAATCACCCCCGCTCCCCAAAGAGGCTACACGCACACATTTTTCCAGAGTCAATGGTTACAAACTTGAACCATCACCTTTCTGAGTGAAAGCCAGACCCCAGACTAGCAAGTCACAGACAACTACCTCAGGTCTCCAGTTTGCCAGCTGATGAAGTAAACATGATGAAAATAAATGAAGTTGTACTTAAGCTGCCAAAGCCTTCCCAACCTTATCATTGCAGAGGATTTAGGACTTGTAAGCTCCCCTGCAACCTCCATTTGCCACAAGTTGATGTATTAAAGTTGGGCTCAGAACTGCTTAGGCTTTAATTCACAATCCATTTTTTTAACTTAACTTCTAAATGTTAAGATAAATAGAAACCTCATCAGCAAACATTGTGACAGTTTTAACTGTCATTTATAGAAACGTGGTCACATCCCTTCCTAAGTCATGCTTCAATGTATTCATTGTTCAGATAGAAACACAGCAGAGCTCTGTCATTCCCACATATGTATATTCACTTATGAGTGACTCGCTTTATACATCTTTAGAAACCTGAGAACCCATCATGTGAGTTATTCACAGATGCAGGTAATGATTCTGGCAAAGCAGACACTGCCCACTGAGCCAATACAAGGGAAAAGTGGCCAAAAGGCAGAGCACTAGAGCCACTCTGATCTGTTGTTGGGTACAAGAAAGGCCACAGAGGTTCACCTGAAATGAACTTATTCCTTTCTCTTAGCGTGTTTGGTGATACCTAAACTTACTCTGTATCAAACTGTACACCACTGATCTGCTCTGAAGACTGTTGTCCATGGTGTGGATCAACTCCAGGCTGATGGGATTTTATGGACATTGTGTTCTGTTTTATGCGAAGACTCCAGATTAGTACAAGGACAAAGAGGACAAACAACCCATTAACTATAATAAGCAACTTTGTATCCCAGGATGGTTACACATAGATTGGATGTCAGAAGAAAAGACAGGCAAAACATGTCTGCCTGGAAACTTCTAAGTCCCCACCCCCACCCCCGCCCCACCCCACCCCACACACACACCTTTCCTGTTCTCTGTGCTCTGGTCAACAGAGGCTGAAAAGTCAGCTCTCAGTCCCACTCAGACTCTTCAACCCTGAAATCTTACCATAATATCTGAGACTCACAAGAAAAAGGGAGCTTTCAACGCCTAGCTGTGGGCTATGCTCCAAAAGATCGTGCACACACAAACACACCCACACGTCCTAAAGGAAAATACATTGTTAATGCTTTATGCAGAAAACTCATTTTCTTAGTGCTTTAGATTGCATGGGACCCATTGCTTAAAATTTATAATGCATTATTATGAAAATTTACTCAGATACATAAATATGGGAGAAAACCAATTTATGTTGTTACCCAGTATTAATTACAGACATTAGAACAACATTACTGTTATTTATTTCCATCTCTATTTGAATGTGGAGGGATCCACCAGGGTTTCTTCTGCCCACTTCCTAATTTACATGTGAATATCATCACAGGGGTCTTTGTTTACTGGATTTTCCTGAGAGTCGTATACACCCTCATCTGTTCTTGCACCTGTCTTAATGATGAGCGGCTTGTTCTCTGGGCTGACCTTTCATCCAAAGGTATTTGCTTCTTCCGTTACTATAAAGCTTTGTGGTCCTGAAATAATAACAATTATGATGGCCTCTGATCATGCTGTCTGTTTTAACGACACGACATAGCTGGCCACATGTCTTCACAGTTTACTGATGTCATTGATGAGAGCTGTCAGGCTGACTCCTTCCGTCTCACGGTAATTAAAAAGCAGCTTCTTTAGCAGTTTTAACTTCATTTTGCGATGACTTGGAAATAGCACATGTGGCTGAAAGAATGTACGAGTCACCGGGGTGGCTTTCTTCAAGAAAAGGTGTGAAACGCAAGTGAGGGAGTTAATCGCAGACCCAGAGTGAAGGCTCTCAATCTGTGGCGTTCGCTGCCTTGCACATCACCTCGCTTTGCTGGAGGAAAGAGCTTGGCTTAAGGAAAGAACGCTAAGATGCAGAGCTGATGTCACCTCCTAAGTGCAGTCGAAGCCCCTGTTTAACAGGTCAAAGCTCAGGCAAAGCCGCATAGAAGAACCGGAAAGGGACGCTAAAGCAGTTCAGACGGCCCACAAAGCACCGCCCAGTGGGAAGGGACGGCTAGGGACAGAAAGAGACCACTGGGGACAGAAGAGGAGGGTTAGGGTGAGAAGGGGGATTACTTTTTACTAGGCACTTCTTTTTCCTCTTAAATTTTATTTCCTTACAGCTTTAGTTTTTAATTAGGGCACCAAGTAACATCTTTCCTCTTTGGCATTTCCAGACATAGCCAGCGCGGGTTGACCCTCTCCCTGTTCCTTACCCCACTCCCCAGGCCCCAGCTTGCTCCCTTCCAGCCCCCACCATTTTCATGTCACAAAACATCTCACTTTTTTCTTTTACACTCCTCGCTCCTTTTTCTTGCCCCCTCCCTCGGGATCTCCGTTCTGGTCTCATGACCTGTGGCCACATCACTTCCAAGAACTATGCGCGCATGAAAACGGGGAGCTGGTATCCACTTGTGAGAGAGAATATGCAGTATTCATCTTTTTCAGCCTGTGCTCATTCTCATCAAACTTGAACGTTTTCTCTCGTTCTCATATTACTTAATTACAGGAGTAATCGTGGAGATGACCAAGCAGTACTTGTCCCTCCAAGCCCTGTGCAGCTTGCAAAGACACAGAGGTTAGTGCTACCAAAACTGTGCTCAGGAATGGCTTCTTCTCCACAGTCCCACCACCTAGCTTCCCTTGTTCCTGCCCCCTCAAAGCTCCTTCCTCTCTGGTCCCTCAACGTCTTCCAGCTCTTCCAACTTAAATCATCAAAGGGAACTTCCAGGAAGCTTGCTGGCTTATTGAATATAAAGAAATGCCAATATTTTTGCTTTCTTACACATACATCAAAAGACAATGGCAAGCTGAACAACCCCTTTAAATCTTCATTGTGCCAACACAGGGAACAAGTTTCCCTCAATTAAACAATGGGCTTCAGGTAGCTCAGTTGACAGAGTGCGGCACCCCACAAGCCTAGCCTGGTGGCACACACCTTGCATTCTAGCACCTCGAGGGTGGACACAGGTGGATCAGAAGTTCAAGTTCATCCTCAGAAATCTAGCAAGTTTAATGAGAGCCTTGGACATGTGAGAGTCTACCTTAAAGACAATGAGCCCTGTATGGTGTTTGTATGCATTGTGCACTACGTAAAGGAGAAGTAATTATGCGGGGCAGGAAAGGAGGGGACAAATGTAGGGGCCCATGTGTGCTAGCGGACCATGACCCAGCCCCACCCTTGGCAAAGTACTGTATCCAGTCACTGCTTGCCCTGCTGATGTCTGCTCTTGAACACGGGGATGTGCACAAAATGTTGACACTATGTTTTCCAGGAAATGGTACAGCACTTTTATCCAGCAGGACCTGGGCTGTGGAAAATATGTTCCGCAAGTTTCTTTGAAAACTGAGGCTCTTCTCGGCTTAGACTGACCGCGCCCCTTTCTGTCTTCATAGTGCCCCATTTTTGATGCTGCTGTGAACCCACAATCTCCCCCTCTGTTCACACGCATGCGTTAGAACACCCAGACAAAAGGCTACCTACCTGAGAATTAAATTTTTCACCTCTGGATAGTTTGTAAGGCTGAACTCATTAATCTTCCTCTATTTGCTGTTTTCTGCAGTATAATTACACGGCACCAACCAGCGAAACTACTGGCTCCTATGGTAACTCTGAGGCTGCTCTTCATGCTGGCATCCTTCTGCAGAGAAGCTGCTGTGGGAATGCTGGCCCCAACTCTGTTCTGTTAGGAGCCATCAACTTTAAAGCTTCTGTATCCAATTGGGCGGGTTTTATAGTAGGACTAAGCACCGCAGTGTTTTGTAGCAAGGTGAATATTCAGAACCTTACTGAACTTTACACCTGAAAATCATTAAAATTGTAAATTCTGTATTATGCATTTTTCACCACACTAAAAAAGATTAAGCATCTTGATTTGTTTTCCCAAGATAGAAACACCTTTATTGCTTCTGCTGGTTTTTGAGCAATAAAGGCTCTTCAAAATTCTAACAGAGGAGAGCAATATAGATATAGATTTTTAAAAAGCTTTGTCATCTTTCCTAGTTGGGATACTCACTGTGACCAGTTTGTCAGATAACTGTAGGGGCTACTATTCTGCACAAACAGCAAAAGAATACTGTACATGTTGTGAAGACCTCAAAATAGCTAGTGGGGATGAGGTCCCACCAATTACCCTGAGATGATCATTACATGCTATAAATATGCATTGATAAACCATACTCGACCCCAATAATGTGTGCAATTATTATATGAACAATAAAAATAAGATTATCTTAAAGGAGTGTATTTGTTACAAGTGACAAAAATCTAAAATCACCTCAAGTACAAAAAACAATCACATAACTAATAACTAGGTGTATATGTAATCAGCTTTGGGAATCATAGAGTCATGCAGACTCAAATGACATAAGCAGGGTTTGTTTCATTTTGCTGGGGCTCTGAATTCAGGTCTGAATTTCTATTATTCAGGTTCCATAATGGGCTGTCTGAAAGCAAAAAAAAAAAAAAAACACTTCTTGCCTGTTCTGTGAAGGGTGGGGTGCGGTGGGGTGAGGGAGGAGGTGCCTTTGCCTTCATATGGTCATACGGGTGTCAAAGGTCAATGTCAGTGTCTTCTGTCACTCTCAACCCTACTAGAGCTAGGATTACAAAGGTATGCTATGAGACCCATATCCTATTGGATGCTGGGGCTCTAAATTCAGGTCCTCATGCTTGCACACCAAACATTTTACCCATTAAGTCATCTCTCCAGCCCCTCTTCCTTTCTGTTCTTGCATGTTTTATGACTTGTATGGACCAACTATAGCTCAACTGTAACCCCAAACTAATTAATATGGCTAGGGAAATGAAGTTTCTAAATGACCAGCCTCAAGTCTCTAATGAGCCTGAGGAGAATGGAATTGAGGAGTGCTTCACGGATGTTTATAAACAAAAGCTGCAACTTTCCCAATTTCATTAGTTCTTTCACCATTGTCATGAGCCATGTAATTTGGCGAGGGACTCCTTGCACACAAAAAAAAATAAAGTAGAATATGTTAGTAGAAGTAAAATGTCCAAACTCTTTTATTTCATTTGTAGGAAATCCTTAAACATCATCATTCTGGTTTTGCTACAAAATGCCATTATAATCAGAGAACACTTTTAAATTTGAATCATTAATTGAAATTTTCCCATTTATTCCTATGTTTACAGTGTAACTGTAAATAAAAAAGATTCTCATCTCAAGTGTGCAATCCCCTAAAAATTGTGTGATCGTGATTCTGTGACTCATAACTGTTGTGTATTTCAGTCTCAGCAGAATCGTGGGAACTAACTCAACTCTTTATTTCCCTCTCGACACGTGCAGCTTCTGCATTTCCTCCCTTCATCAACTTACTGATGACTGAAGGAAGACTTGAAGGGAAAGTGATTATGTGTTGTCATGCTTTCTTGTTACTCTTGTTGTCACTTCAATGTAAGTGGTTGGCAAATACACAAAAGTATGACAAGTTTGACAGAGTGTGGTGGAGTTTCTAGGTCACTCATGTTTCTTAAGACCGTCTAGTTTGAAAGGACAGCATGGCCTCTTGGGACTGCCAGTGAGTGGCTTTCTCAGTTACAAATGGCCCTTCCTTATCCTGTACTCTCTTTGAGTCTCACTGAACATCACATCTCAGGATCCATGAGAACTCTGTGCTTATGAGACATAGAGAACAATACACACAAATAAGATAGCTCTATGTCTATGCATGGAAGTTCCACAAAACGAAGTGGTAACAGTCACTGGGGAGAAAATAAAATTATTCCAATTACCCTGTAATACAAATCTATTTCACATGTAAAACACATTCACTCTTTTAATTAAAAATTTTATTTTTAAATTTAAATTCAAATTAGAAACAAGGTTTCTTCACATATCAATTTCACATCCCTCTCCCTTTCCCTCCCTTCCTCCCACCCCCCTCCCACCATCCACCCAATATCCCCTCCTTTCCCCAGGGAGGGTGAGTTCTTCCATGGGGGTGTCCATAGTCTGTCATTTCATCCAGGACAGGGCCTAGAACCTCCCCCCCAAGAGTACAGGGTGAGAGTGCACCTCTCATTGTGGGATGGGCACCCAATGTCCATTTGTATACCCGGGATAAATACTGATCTATTATCCAAGGCCCAATAGATGATTGCCTAGGCCTCCTCACTGACACCACATTCAGGGGGTCTTGATCAGCCCCATGCTGGATTCCTAGGCATCAGTCTGGGATTCAAGAGTTAACCCTTGTCAGGTCAGCTGTTTCTGGGGGTTAAACCAGCCCAGTCTTAATCCCTTTGGTCATCAGTCCTCCCTCTCTGTTACTGGCTTTCTTGAGTTCAGCTCAGTGCTTAGCCGTGGGAGTCTGCCTCTGCCTCCATCAGCCACTGAATAAAGGTTCTGTTTCCCTGACTCTCCAGCCATGGGCTTGTAGGCTGGCACTCCCCAGATCTATGTCTAAAATCCATATATGAGAGAATACATGCCATGTTTCTCTTTTTGTGACTGGGTTACCTCACTCAGGATGGTTTCTTCTAGTGTCATCCATTTGCCTGCAAATTTCAGGATTCCGTTGTTTTTTTCTGCTGAATAGTACTCCATGGTGTAAATGTACCACATTTTCTCTATCCACTCTTTGCTTGAGGGGCATCTAGGTTGCTTCCAAGTTCTGGCTATTACAAATAATGCTGCTATGAACATAATGGAACAGACATCCTTGTTGTATGAATGGGCATCTTTTGGATATATGCCTAAGAGTGGAGTTGCTGGGTCTTGTGGTAGGTTTATTCCCATTTTTCTGAGGAATCTCCACACTGATTTCCAAAGTGGCTGAACAAGTTGGCACTCCCACCAGCAATGGAGGAGAAACACATTCACTTTTAAAAGGTCTGCAGAATCTTGCTGTATGGTGGCACTGTAATCTAACAAACCCTGCGACACCTAGAAAATGGCCTCGGGGCATGCCTGGTAAGGTTTTCTTGATTAGGTTAATAGGAAGATCCACCCACTGTGGGTGGCATCATTCCCTTAGCTGGAATCCTAAATTGCATACAAAGCAGGGAGTGAACTGAGCACCATCCTTTATCACTCTCTGTTTCTTGACTGTGGATACAATTGACCAGCTACTTCAAAGCCTCTGCCACCTTGACTTCTCTACAGTGATAGGCCGCTACTCCTTTGACGTGTGAGCCAAAATGAACCCTTCTCCCCTTAAGTTGCTTTTGTCAGTATTTTATCACAGAAACAGGAAGGGTAGTTAAGACTGTCCATATCAATAGTTAGATTGCTTCCAAGGTTTCAGTAAGACATTTATGAATAAATAGCCTTAGGTACTTAATTGGTTGTTCATCAAGATCAGTTTCTAGAATGACTGAATTAACAAGTCATGCGTTGGGTTTCATTGCCAGAATCTTTATAAATGGCATACCAGCAGATAGCAATGTCTAAGAAAACTTACCTCTTCATACTCAAATAGGTTTTTTTCAATATTTGTAATGTTTTTATTTAAATTAGAAACATGAATGTTTCACATGTCAATCCCAGCTCCCGTTCCCACCCCTCCTCCCTTGTCCCTCCACCAGCGCCTCCAGCCCCCCACCTAAAAATAGTATTGCACATTTCTTGACTATGGCTGAGAGTAACTATCTTCATAGTTAATTCTCATTCTTAACATTTATGAGCATTCGACTATCCTTAAAGACCCTGCCCCATGCTCTATGAGACTGGGAGGAAAAGAAGTAAATTGAAGGTCCAAGCACTTGAGAGGTTGTGAGATCAAGGCCAGCCTGGTCTACATAGCTGGTTCCGGGCCAGCCAGGGGATATATAGTGAGATTCTGGGTTTGTTTGCTTTGTTTTTGAGTTGACTGTAATGATATATTATTTCCTTCCACAGTAAATGCCATGCCATCACATTTCTTATGTACTTTCCTTACAAACAAACCTTTTATATACATCTTATCTTTAAATCTTGATAATCTCATTGAATATTAAAGGAATGGGGTCTATAATCATCCCCATTTTGAAGGGGAAAAACTGAGGTTTGAAAGGTTAAATAGCAATCGGTGGCAGAACAACAGCTTATTTGGAAGTCTGTCTGAAACCAAAGTCAGTGTCCTTAAATTCTCTATAGTCTGCTCCTAAACTCAATCTTGGGGCTTTAGTTTTCATATTAATATGACGAATGGACCTACACCTGGTTGACTTTGACCATAAAATGGTCCTTGGCCACAGAACAAGAATGTCTAATACTTAGCAACCCCTGAGGATGTAAGCCAAAAGGAAGAATGTTACCCAAACTCTATCTGTCTGGCCAGGAGCTGAAAGGCAACGGGAAAGCTGACTGAGCATCACTCATCTTGAAGCCTCATAAAAGAAGGGAAATTGTATTTGCAAGTCCAATTTCTGAATGTTTGAGGCAGCCTCGCAGGAACACTGCAAGGAGGAGCTAAATGAGGACCCTGAGAAGAAATGTGGATAATATAGGGCATGGGGCTGCCCACTGCAGGGTATGTAAATACTTTATACACTAATTCAATTACCTTTCCAGGTTATTCGGGAGGGCTGATTTAAGCAGCAGCCTGAACCAGTGTCCCATCCCCCATGCATACATGCAGGAGGACAGAGTTAAGAGAGCTGGGTCGACCTTAACTCTGGATTTTTTGACTTTTATGGGCGTAAGTTGGAACTTTAATGTTTTATTAATGTCGAGGTTTTGGAGCTGGTATTCAAAATGTTTCAAGCAGAGATACGATGGGTCTCAAATACCTAAAATCTGTTCACACTGACAGGTAGTAAAAAAAATCACTATTTTACAGAAATTTCTAGCCACTCAAAGAACTCTGTGAGATTATTTTTGCATAAATTATTATATAAAGGATTATTAGCCATGTAAAAGGTGAAATGTTTAACTAATGGTAATTGATATATACTGGCATGGATAATGTGTATAATTATGAACTTTTTTAAAGCCCTTATTCCAAAGTATAACTAAACACATTCTTAAATTAATCATCTCCAGAGAAAGTGCAGCAAGAACTATAAATAAGGAGATTTGCTCAAAGCACAAAGGAAATGAGCTAACGCTTGTAAATGTCTCAAACGTCAAGAGGTTCTAGAGCGTCCCTCCTTTCTCTTACTCACATCTTGTGTAGATTTATGCAAGAAATCCCTTCCAAAACTTCAAGGCTCTGCTTGTACATATTATTTCCTGGAAAAAATTCAAAGATG